GGGGGAGACTGTGGGCACGGGAGCTGTCCAGCATCACCTGGCTGCTGCCAGCTGCCCCACACTGACCACAACTGGAGGTACTGGGACACGTTGTTCTCACACATGAACACATGTCACTTGGCTCTGACATAACCGGACTAGAACAAGGTGTTGTTGTGTCTTCTGCAGCTCAAAGCTTTTGCCCAAGCCAAGGAAGCTGCCGGGTACAGCCAGGAGGAGCTGGAGGAGACCTTTGCGTTTCTCCTGTTTGATAATGAAGCAGAGGTAACCTGAAATGTTTATTCAGTTTAAGAAGTTGGATTCCAAGTGCCTGCACATGTGCTGTGTCCCACCAAAGCCCAGCAGATCTGTTGACTGAAGTGTTCTGGCTCTCTGTACCCCAGTTACCAGTGCAAATACTACTGTATAAATAGTCTAGAGCAAGTTCTGAAAGCAGCTCCTGGGAGGTTTTAGCAATGAATCTTATTTTGCATCTCTCCAGTCAATTACTGTTTGAGATTTGGCTGCCTCCTTTGCCCTCTGTAGGGAGATGGAAGGAGTCTCCATTTGTCCCAATGGATTTATGGTCAAGTACAGGCAGATGGAACCTTTCCTGTATGCTTAGAGCAGAAAAGTGCTTTTGTGACAGGAGTTTATCAGGTGGTTTTGGGCAAGTTCCCTTGGTTTTGCCAGCTAGGTGGAGAGAGAGCCTGACACAGCTATTTGGAAAGTTTTTCTTGCCTGTTTTTCACAAGGACGCTTTTGATTTTCTGAAAAGACAAACTTCACAAGGATGCTCAGGGAATTCACTTTTAATGTGATTTAATGATGATGCCATGCTAAACCACGGTAGAGGTGGTTTTGTTCAGAATGAGAGCGGCCTGAATGCAGTTTAGTTCTGTTCAGTTTGGATTGAGCTACAGCAAAATAAACCACTTTCAGTCTCAGTTTGGGAGTGGGAATTGTCCCACTTTGTTTTGACTGTTTGAAATTTAGCACAGGCTGTGACAATCAAATGACAGTCAAATGACAACCAAATGACAGCTCCTTGTACCTGTC